CGCGTGTTGCTGGGCGTGCATTGGATCAGACAAACATTTCCAACCGGATGATTAAGACCACTTTGTTCCTCGTAATTGTGTCCTGACAACAATGACGAGGAACTTGGGACATTGTATGAAAATTCGGAAGAGTCCGGTGAAATCCGAGCCGCAGTTGCTGAGGCAAGAACAATGCCATGATGAAATTTTCAAGGCCTCATCTTTCGCCCCCCTAACGATACAGCTGTGTGTGTATATGGTTTCGCCACAACCGCTCTTGTCAACACAGTTGCTGCAAACAGTATAATCAGAAAATTGTTATGCTGCAAACTGAACAAAGTGACGATTCTGCTGTTTGACATTTCTTATCGCTCAGAGTTTGAGCACGTCACACCTGCGGCCGCATGCACTGCTTGTGTAGTGATTCAAGGCGCGTTTTACATCGGCGAATTTTGACGATATAAAGCACGCTTTCTTTCTCGTCAAGCAAGGAACTTTGCTCTCCTGAACGCTTGCTGTACCCCTGAAATTCCCTGATGGAGAGCCATAGGTGGCTCCTTGTCATGCCCCATCTTTTGACCTCGGACATCTACGCCGCCTTTCACGACAACCCTGGATTTAACACTGGATTATTCATGACTTACTCCAGGCAATGGTCACGCAAGTCCCAGTCCACCGACGGGTCCTCGGGGCACGAGGCCAGGGCGTAGAACTCACGGCCGTTCTCGAGGACGCACCGCCATTGAGACGCCGCGTCGGGGAACGTCTGAGCACCCGAAGAGACACCGCTGTGGTCGACGCAGCAGTCGCCGTACCGTCCGCAGTCGGCGTCGCATCGACACACATTGTCCAGTGCACCCAAGGTGCAAAGGTCCTGGCTTGCCGGGCACACTCCTGCCGCGAGCGGTTCTCGTCGCACCGTAGTCCACCATGGCTCCACGTCATCATCGATGCCCTAATGAGTGGAAACACACATACGCCATCAATTTGAAGTAGACTTATCCCTGGAATTGGGTTTACTGACACAAAATGCCACGCTGCGGTAACCACGGGCGACAAGATTTCCCTTGTAAATGCAGCATTCATTGCAGTACTTCACACTTAGTCAAATAATATATTTCATCTAAAACGCTGGACCTGCATTTACAAAAACACACTACGCTAAAAATTTATTTCTGAGAATATTTCAACCCGTAGGGACGCCAGACATATCATTAGTTAAGTCGGCTGACCAACTGGAAAACGTACTTACAGGAGTATTGTGTATTCATCCCATAACCTCGTGAATTGAAGGTAATAGCACGCCATATCCTTGTAATAATCAAGGGTAAAGTCGAGGTCAGTTAACAGGTAAACCGTGGGCAAAGTCGAGGTTACATTAACCATCAATAAAGTTGTTTGTGCATTATCTGCTGTTCAGTAATTGCGTATTAGGCGCGCGTGCACCCAGTCTGAAGACGACACGGGGGGACTTTTCTGCGAAGTAACTAGACATATACGTACGCGTGAAAGTTCTGCAAAAAGTAGCAGCAAAGCTTGTGTGGTCCACTATTTTAGTGGTGGTCATGCACAGCGAGGTTTCGTTGGGATGTATTACATTCATCGTTGTATGAAGTTGACGGAATGAGGGGGCGAATCCGGGTGGTGTAACCGCAGTAAACTCGGTCGAAGCGCGCGTGTTCCATTGCCATGAATGTATTTTGTGACTATTCACTGCGATAACGCCCGGCGCGCAGTCATCAGAGATATAGAGTGCAACGGTAAAAGCGTCAGCAAGTGTGCAGATAAGGATAGGCCGGTCGCATGTGTTTTTGGAAACAGCTGCACTATTCAAGCGGCAGTAAAGTTCTGGCCTCATGCGTGTATGAAAAACATTCTGAAAGCTCGCTGTGAATAACCATGTGTTTATAGTGAAGTGTATTTCTTTGTTTCTTCAGGTAGCAAGCCCGGAATTCAATATTGGGATGATCCTCAAACCACAGGTAAATCACGCAGGATTTTCATGCTTTTACATTTATAATAGTTTTCACGGATTCTACAAATATCGTGCAACTGTAACTAAGCTATACCTATTGAACGCCCGGAATTCGAAATGCATCCAAGGCCAACATACACCAATCACGAAAGGTCACTGAATAAAGGCAAAAAAAAAAACGAACTGCCGGTCAATCACTGGACTTTGTCTCGGTGCTAGGCCAATACGACGAAAGGCAACGGCCGCGGTCTGGTGGCACAACGCACCTGCGAAGCCCACGACAAGGCCGGAGACGCAGCGGTCCCAAGGAGCGCCAAGAGCAGGAGCGGCAGCCTCTCTCGGCACGCTAGGCGTCTTCCTACGTCGTGAAGCAACATCGGCGCGGCCCGCACCCGTTCGCCGTTGGCACCAGTCCACAACGAAGACGGCGGCGACAGCGCCGCATCAAGCACTACCCCTCACTCGGCGCTCAATCCCGGCGGCGGCCTTCGGCTTTCTTCGCTAGGCCGGCGCGCAGACCGCGGCAAGCCCGTTTTCGCTTCAACGCGCCAGCCACCCAACGGTCGCGCAAACGACGCGCCTGAGCCCCCACGCACGTGACTTCGACGTCACAGCCTCCTCATCTCGGCCATTCTGGGCCTTCTTTCGCCTTCTACCCACGCTAGCCTCTCTCCTTCCATATCTAACGCAACACCCCCTTTCGCCATTTTCACCACGGTAGCTTACGAAGCGAATACGCAAAAAGTCCGCCGCGGAACATGCGCAGTCGGCGGATCGGTGGCCCGTCGGACGCGTCAGGGTCGCGGGGGCGCGGCGCGGGAATGACACGACGGTAGGCGCTCCCGTTCGTGACGTCACCACGCTGTTTTCATTTTTCATGAGGCGCAATTAACGCTCTGCGGGGAAGCCAGCAACACGGGCAGAGAGGTATGGCACGACGCGAACTGGATGTCTTTTCGAAATACGCGATACACGGATAGAAACATGTTCGTTCGCATTGTTACTCAAAAACGCCGTGCAGCATTACGGTTTAGTAATAACGAACTCTCTCATTCACAAAAGGGTCTGGTTCTAGTAATATCGCTTAAGTGCTTGGAGCACTTGTTTGGTTATTTACAAAAGACTGCCGATTTTAATTTTCATTACCACAGTTCATTGGATAAAGGGTCACGTGTGCCTAAAAGCACCATGTCCATGGTGATTGATTTGATTGATATGTGGGGTTTAACGTCCCAAAACCACTATATGATTATGAGAGACGCCGTAGTGGAGGGCTCCGGAAATTTAGACCACCTGGGGTTCTTTAACGTGCACCCAAATCTGAGCACACGGGCCTACAACATTTCCGCCTCCATCGGAAATGCAGCCGCCGCAGCCGGGATTCGAACCCGCGCCCTGCGGGTCAGCAGCCGAGTACCTTAGCCACTAGACCACCACGGCGGGGCTGTCCATGGTGTCGATTGTGGTGCATGCATTATGGAAGTTCTGTACCACGTAAAAATTGGGCTTGAAAAAAAAACATTAATTTAATGTACAACCCTGTGCGAAATTATGTGGGCCACTGCGGTCCGTGCACCTTTGACGTCTAGGGGCGAGCGATGTGCTGCCGAAAGCACTTATCTGACAAATTTTGTCAAAGCAATGCCCTCAAAAGCAGCTGGCTCGCGTCTACACAGCGTAGAAAGCCATTTCATTTTGCACTTCCATGGTCCGTATACTTTCGCTGACGGCTGTACGTAAACATTTAATTAACAAGAAATGAACTTGAATGTAACGTGGGACTATATAAGACTGTTCCAGAAAACTGATGGCCATTTTTTTTTACTTCTTTCTCGATGTAATGACAAAAACGCCTGGACTTCTTCGGGGCAGGACTCCAATAATGCATCCCCGTTTTGAACACAAACCAAAACGTATTCCTATTGTTCCTTACATCTCGATGCGTCAGCACACATTCGAGTAGTTTCACCAGGGTGGTACCACGAATATCAGCAGTCTATAAGAACAAAAGTTACCTAAAAGAACATCCTAAACTTAACGTAACCGCGAGAACCCCTTTTCTGTGTTCATCAATAATACCTCCCGCGCAAATATATTTGATGTCTACGTACTTTATTCACGAGAAAACCAAAACAATGCAAATCTCATTGCAATGTTTCAATAATATTCTGCTTAATAACATGTAGGTCGTATTTGATTTTACAGTATATTTATCACCACTTTTAATGTGTAGTGTGAGCCCTAACAGCAGTTATTCGGCAAATGAATTTTCCTTTCCAGCACCTTCCTCTTTTTGGTCGAGTGGAGTGATAAGCAGTTTTGTCCATTACATCATATATGTTTTAAATGCGAAATATTTCTTGAAAACTCTAAGTCACATCTGCTGTTTATTACTATCTATCTACGTATCTATCTGTCTATCTATCTATGTATCTATCTATCTAACTATCTGTCTGTCTGTCTGTCTGTCTGTCTGTCTGTCTGTCTGCTGTCTGTCTGTCTGTCTGTCTGTCTGTCTGTCTGTCTGTCTGTCTGTCTGTCTAGGCACTTACGTCTGGGCGCTCTACTGGTCATCTCCTCGACTTATAATCTACCAAATTTACATAGCAGATACGGACACGATTCACTTATGACACGAATAACGTAAAGTATCCGTCGCGTAAGTCATGAAACCCTTTCCCTCAGTCACGTGAGGCACGTATCTAAATACCCCCGTTCAAGTTATGCGGGTGTCCACCCTTGGTGATAGTCTCCATCGACACAGTAACAATGAACATACTCTCTGAAAAGTCCGGCAGATCTCTGCATTTCGAGAATCGATATCATGATCACTCTCCGGGTATAACAGCTGAGTGGTAACGTCGGCTGTGGCTGTAGCATTGACTATCTGCTCTCATAACAATCCAATTCGATTTTTTCAATTCTTCTTTTATTTAATTTTTCTCGCCATACACCGAAAAAATGGAGGAGGCCCGAACAAAAGGTGAAACACCGCTCTGTTTACGGGGATGCGGGCCCCTTTTACAACGTACACAGCAGGGCAGTGGATGTGGTACACAGAAAAACGTACGATACGCGCATATGTGCTAACAGGTACCACTTACTTATCTACGTACTTAGCTATTCTTAATTAGTTATCTCGATAAATGTCAAAGTATATACGTATATAGTGCCGACCACTTGCAATCACCTGCTGGTCGGAGCTTGTGCAGTGCACAAGAACAGCTGGAAAGTGGTATCTCGACATTCCAATTCATTGATGCCACGCACACAATCCGCCAGAACGACGCAGTGTTTCTCTTCGTACTCTACTAGGCTGGGTGATGGCCTCATGTTGATTTAGGATAACGTGAGATTGATTGAAAGACGCTGCCCACTACCTTGGCCACATACGCCCAGGAGGTCTAGGAACACGGCAAGCCCTACCAAATGAAGTTGGTATAAGTTGCACTATCCAGGGCTACCAGCCTCGACGGTCTACCCTCACCAACGCAAATGTCTACTTCAGTTTCCGACATATCACCTGCTCTATTGACAAACAATTCGTCGACGAAATGACGTGGCAAGCCAACAGGCCTGTAGACAGTCTTAATTGTATTTATACTGGTACTGAGCGCAAATACTAGGTAAACGACTAGCGAGAGGACAGAGACGCAACGTATTGTCCAGCCACTGTCTGGGATACCGCCTACATACGGTGCCACATCCACAATAATCACTTGCCTGTGCCACGATCGCGTGCATGACTTCGAAAGTGACGCAATGCTCACAAAACTTGGCGTGTTAGCACTTTCTGAAACCTATAGCGATGAGCCCTTGGCCATCACTGGGTTCCACTGTGGGATTCCGCAATAAGAGGCTTCATTGCAAGTGCCGCGGCGTGGCTATAACGAGAACACTGTGATGTACAACTTCAACGTTGGCTGCAATAAACTTCGCCGGGCACCGTAACACCGAACATATTTAGACAAGAAGCCTAATCCACCTTTTCTGTTTCCCTGTGCCGCCCTCTGCCGCCTAGGGGAGTGCAAGTCCTGTGACAGGCGGCGCAGAACACGTTGGCGTACATCGTCCTCGTGGTGTTGCGTAGACGGGCACGTTTCAAAGGCTTCAGCTGCTGCCCCCGCCGCAGGCAATGGTCACGCAAGTCCCAGTCGACCGACGGATCCTCGGGGCACGAGGCCAGGGCGTAGAACTCACGGCCGTTCTCGAGGACGCACCGCCATTGAGATGCCGCGTCGGGGAACGTCTGGGCACCCGAGGACACCCGCTGTGGTCGACGCAACAGTCGCCGTACCGTGCGCAGTCGGCGTCGCATCGACACACATTGTCCAGTGCACCCAAGGTGCAAAGGTCCTGGCCTGCTGGGCACACTCCTGCTGCGAGCGGTTCTCGTCGCACCGTAGTCCACCATGGCTCCACGTCATCATCGATGCCCTAATGAGTGGAAACACACGTCCGCCATCAATTTGAAGTAGACTTATCACTGGAGTTGGGTTTACTGACACAAAATGATAATATTTCCCTTGTAAATGCCGCATTCATTGCAGTACTTCATACTTTGTCAAATAATATATTTAATCTAAAACACTGGACCTGCATTTACAAAAACACACTGCGCTAAAAATTAATTTCTGAGGGTATTTCAGCCCATAGGGACGCCAGACATATCATTAGTTAAGCTGGCTGACCAACTGGAAAACGTACTTACGGGAGTATTGTGTATTCATCCCATCATCTCGTCAATGGGAGGTAATAGCGCGCCATATCCTTGCAGTAATCAAGGGTAACGTCGAGGAGAGTTAACAAGTAAACCGTGGGCAAAGTCGAGGTTACATTAACCACCAGTAAATTTGTTGGTGCATCATCTGCAATTCAATAATTGCGTATTAGGCGCACGTGCACTTAGTTTGAAGACAACACAGGTGGACTTTACTGCGAAGTAACTAGACCAGAAGGTGGTGACGTTGTGCGTCAGCAACAGCCCGCTGCAAAACAAGATTCCCAAGCCTATTGAATTTTCTGTGTGTGGACACATTCGTACGCGTGTGTATACGTGTACATACTAATGGCATTTGTTTCGTGTCTGCCCGTGGGTCATGCTTCAATTACCAGCCATGATGGCCAATCTCGACGCGGTCGAAACGACGAACATGTCAGTGTACGTCTATGATCCGCATTATTCAAGCCCCCCCCCCCCCCCCCACCATTCCCCATCACGTTCCTTACATATAACCCGGTGATATTTGCAGGTAAAACGAGAAATTTGGTTTCAAAGGAGAATTTTTCACTCGGTATTAATTTTTAGGTAGAAGTGTCTGATCACCTCTGATTCTTTCGCCGACGGCGTGGGCATTGTGTGTCGTTGTGCAATTTATCAACGCTGAAAGAGTATGTAACATCCCAACGCGCACTGTAATCGCCGAACTTCCTGCCGTTGTTCGGGACACTTCCTTATGAGGTGTAATAGTGAGTGCCAAAATGAAATCAACGTGCTTTGTTCGCAAAATGAAGTGCTCATACCTACACTAAGCCCGAAGGGAATTGAAAACACTGTTTCAAGTTTCAAGTTTTATTATTT